TGACAGCGCTCGTGTCCGTTCTAGACATTACTATCCGTCACAGTGTTGCCAAATCCGTGGTTTTCCCGTGGAATTGGGCTACTTTATCACTGTTGCCGCAGGTTGAAGCGACCCCAATGACGTGATTTTTACCGGGGGACCCCCCTCGAAACGAGGTTAGTTTGGGCTAGTTTTGAGTAGCAATTGGGCGGGTTTTGCTGTGAAAACCTGGCAACCCTGACGGAGAGTGAAACTCTGAAGCGCTCAGTCAGTGTAGGTGATGTAAAAGAGGAAAGCAGGCATTTTGGACCAAAGCACTGTGAAGCAAGGAAGGGGAGACTCAAAATGTTTCTAAACTTAAAACGCATTTTTGCCCCGTTTGTGTTGTTTTACTACTTACAAAATTATTTAAAGTATAAAACATTGTTATTTACAATACACAGCGTGGTTTTTAATAATTATTTTAGGGGGGACAACCTTCAGAAGGGGGGGTCCTGTCCCCCCCCGACATTTCTGCCTATGCATTTCGCTGAAATATTTGTAGTTGGACAATAAATGTGACATGTAGAATTTTAAACCTTACAAGTAAGTCTATTTTTATGATAGCACTGACTGTAAAGTGACTGTAATGGGGTAATCAAAATGGCCTAAAACAACTTTTAACCCTTTTTTGCACATAATATAAAGGCTTACATGGTTACATTCACTTTATTTGTTTTCATAGCCTTTAATATGTATTGTTTTGTTGGACAACATTGGGCGGAAAGTGAAATATATATATATTGGTTAGTTTGGGCTAGTTTTGAGTAGCAATTGGGCGGGTTTTGCTGTCAAAACCTGGCAACCCTTTCCGTCAAGCAGAACGTTATTATTGCTAACATAGCAGACTCATCGAAAAATACATTGGCATCATGTATAATTATTTTAGGGGGGACAACCTTCAGAAGGGGGGGTCCTGTCCCCCCCCGACATTTCTGCCTATGCATTTCGCTGAAATATTTGTAGTTGGACAATAAATGTGACATGTAGAATTTTAAACCTTACAAGTAAGTGTCTTTTTATGATAGCACTAACTGTAAAGTGACTGTAATGGGGTAATCAAAACAGCCTAATACAAATCTGTGCTTTTGTTCTTATTTATTTTCATTTTTAGTTTAGTGAATTTAACTTCTGCTTTAAAAGCCTTATTTTTGTTTTTAGATTGCAATGTTACAATGTTAGAATGAAATGTGATTTTAACCCTTTTTTGCACATAATACATTCACTTTATTTGTTTTCATAGCCTTTAATATGTATTGTTTTGTTGGACAGGCGGTAAGTGAAAATACAGATTTTTTAAATACAAATACAAAAACGAAAATACTGAGACATATACACCGTATATCGCAAATCAGCCAAAAAATACCGAGATATGAATTTTTGCCCATACCGCCCAGCCCTAGTGAGAAGTCAGTATTAGTATTAAAGGATTACTATTATTATTGGATTCTTTTTTCATGGACTAGTTTTTTTGTGAATTGTATTGAATCCAATTAGGATCAATCTGACTTCGACTATTACTATTATACACATTTTTAATAACCTAATACAAGGGTCTTTCAAAACATGTAACTCAAAAACTACTTCATGTAAGTATCACACACACACACACACACACACACACGCTGACCTGCAGTCTCTTCATGGTCTGGGAGTCCTGGTCAGCCTTGACCTTACAGGCCACCAGCAGCTGAGCGGTGGATGCTGCCACCTGTTTGGCTGAAGAAATGAGTTTCTCCTCACTGGCGTGACCCTGAACAGCAGAGTTAGCCGCCTCACACAGGTTGTTAGTAGCTGCAGCCACCATACGCGCCTAGAGCCAATGAATTCATGGACAAAATATGTTAAACATCCACCTCATCAAAAACCACTTCATGTATGTATAGGTATCTGAAACCTCTGCATCTAAATATATTTTAGAAGAAACTGAGAAAGTTAAAGTGCTAGTTCACATTCTGTCATCTATTCTCAAAATACCTTAATTTGTGTTTATAATGATATGAGAGCATGATATGACTAAATAATGACAGAATTTTTATTTTTGAGTGAACTACCCTTTAAGCTCAAAAGCTCTTCTAGCTCTACTTGTGACAGTGACCTACAGCAGAAATGAGACCCTGTGACCACTGTCCATCATCCACTGCGTTTGCTGGGATCGCCCCGACCTGACACAGAGAGAGAAATGCATTACTGACTGAGCAAAGCTGAACAAAGTACATAATTTCCGGGCATTCTGGATGAAGTTTCCTTCAACAGCATGTTCATCGAGGCACATTCATACCTTCCCTTGAGCCACCAGCTCTCTCTGAGCGGCAGATGCAGCTTTGACCAGAGCACTTGTGGCTGCAGCGATGGATTTGGCTGCTTCCAGAATCTGCTCCTCGAAGTTTAGACTCTCATCAGCTTCCTGTTGATCAGAACAGAGCAAAAATTAATTTCCATCACTGTCTGAACATTGGGACTGATCTTAAAGGTTTTTCACATGCGTACGAACACATCATCACAATGGTTTTTCATTCCAGTATAGATGAAGATGATGATGATGATGATGGAGGTCATTCATGCTGCATTCATAATTCATATCATTTGTGTTACCTTAAATCCAAATCCAAACTGGGCAATGCAAACGGGAATAGTTACACAAATGTGACACAATAATCAGGAACATCCACTTCAGAATATATGAGCACTGAGTGGGATTTTCCAAGCTGAATGTAAAATGTCAAGCAGTTAAGCCGCTCCTGAGGGATGTGGGTAAACGTTTCCTCACCTTGGGTTTGGCTCGGGGTTTGAGCTGCTCTAGTTTCTTGGCGGCAGCTTCAATGGCAGCTGCGGCTCCCAGCAGCTCATTTTCGGCGATGACAGTCGGGTCCTCAGGATCCACCCACTCTGTACCTAAAGAAAGCATAGTAACCAATCAAACTCATGTGTGGGATTGTGCTGTGTACCTGTAATAAAACAACTAATGCTATATCTTAGCCTTCCTCCATTCTTCTCCTCTGATTTAAACACTTTCTACAGTTTTGGATTTGGATTTTCGATCATCTGTGGTTCTTTTTATAAATCCTGAGGTTCTAAATGGTGTGCGAATAATTTTACAACAGATTCTACAATATTTTGTAAATGTTTTTCTTCCCTTTTTGAAATAAAAAATAGGGTTGGTTTAATTATTGTAGTATCAGAATGCAAAATGCCCTCTTTGCTTATTTAAGGAAAATATTCAACAACAACAACAACAAAAAACTTATTCAGAATTATTAGTATTAGAAAGGATATACACTACAGTTCAAAAGTTTGGGGTCAGTAAGATTATTTTAGTGTTTTTGAAAGAAGTCTCTTATGCTCACAAGGCTGCCTTTATTTGACCAAAAACAGTAATTTTGTGAAATGGCATTACAATTTAAAATAGCTGGCTTTTATTATACTATGTTTTAAAATGTAATTTATTTCTGTGATCAAAGCCGAATTTTCAGCATCATTACTCCAGTCTTCAGTGTCACATGATCCTTCAGAAATCATTCTAATACACTGATATATTTATGTGGAAACTTTGATACATTTTTTTGGACTCTTTGATTAATAGAATGTTGAAAAGGAAAGCATTTATTTGAAACAGAAATCTTCTGTAACATTTTACATTTTACAGTCACTTTTGATCAATTTCATGCATCCTTGCTGAATAAAAGAGAGAGAGAAAAAAAATAAAAATAAAATCACACTGACCCCAAACTTTTGAACGGTAGTATAAATTCATAAAGGAACATATTTTCCTTTATGTGCAATAAAACTGAAGGACAAAGACAACAGCAGAAAGTGTATCTCATTATATTAAATATATTTTTGTACTCATAAACACTAGATAGGTAGAAAGACCTTCATTTTATATGACTTTTCTTCTTTTTTTACAAAAATTGGTACCTACAGTATGAATCATCTATTTTCTTTAACTCTCTCTCTCTCTCTCTCTCTCTCCCACACACACACACACACACACACACACACACACACTCTGTCTGAGATTCTCCTTGTCTCTCATCATGTGTTAAATGGGGGTCTGGGTATTATCACCCCGAGCTCTCAGATCACTTTCAGTGGATTATCCTGATAAATCCTGCTTGGATTCCCTGCTCATGATGCCGAACTGGATCCTTGACCTGAGCTGATGGAGAGGACAAGAGGGCAAGAAGTACGAGAGAAGCCCTAGATCTAGAGCCCTGCAGCCAGAAGAGTAGAGTGTGTGTACTGAGAAACATGACACACACAGGTCGCTGTCGTACCTTTCATGGCCTCCGCAGCCTGTATGAGCTCCGTCACTGAACCGGCCACACGTTTGGAGAAGTGTGCCAGCTGCTGTTTAAGGTCATGACTTGGTTTCTGAATGATCTGTGGATAGAGACCGCATGACTTCAAACACATGAAAGCATTAAAACATCCTAAATAAGAGCTGGTTAAATCAATCTGATGACATATTTGACTCCTCACAAACAGTTCATTGCTGTTAGACACACATGCGGTCAACTAGAAGACACTAATCTAGTGATTTCTGAGGTGTGTGTGTGTCCTCGGCGTGTCCTCCGGGGTGGTGCTGGTGACAGTGGAACAGGTGCGTGGCATTAGCAGAGCTGTTCGTTTGGGACAGATGGCTAAGTAAAGACTTGGCCATGAGCAGGAATGCTGGGAATGACACAGACAATACAAACATATGCTGTCTGTCTATATAAACCCTACAGAAGCACAAAAGACAGTCTGTCTGTCTCTCTCTTCAGAGTTCCCATGTTTTGACCAATGCATTTCTCAAACTGTTCCAGTCGTTCATGACTTTGTTTTGAGACTGGGGTGCATTGCTCTTTAGATTTGGAATGAATAGATGTTCATAAACGATCAATGGAAAACTAATGTGACCAATATGACACTCAACGACAGACTAGTGTTTCATATTGGTGTTATTCCACTCAAACGTTCAAAAAAAAATATTTAAGTGGTGAGTAAAACTAGAAAAAAATATTACAATTACTAAGGAGGTTTATAGATCTTGCCCAAGCTTGGAAAATCATAGAGTACAAAATTCCCAGGTTATTTTCAGGCTTAACCATGAAGAATCAACACAACTGTGTTGTTCGTTATCTTTATGTTATTAATTTATGATAATTTAATCATATTCATTTAATTAGTTATTCACATAATTTATTCATTTTTTTATTACTTTTTTCCCTTGCTCTTGTAGTGCTTTTTATTGTTGTTTACACTTATGATCTTGTGGTTTGAAGGGATATTTGTTTTCACAAGTTAGAAAAAATAATCTAACATTTTTGCAGCACTTGGAAGGATGTTGGCACAGTCTAACAACGTGACTATGGGAGCCCTGTCTCTTTCTAAATATTACATAAAACTGACAATTCATCCTGCTTTGACCTTTTTTCACACACACACTCACTCACTCACTCTCACACTCACTCTCACTCTCACACTCACTCTCACACTCACTCTCACTCTCACTCTCACACTC